AAGGTTATACTTCCATTCCCATTAGTCTGGCTCTTCTTATGGAGAAAAAATTACGTGAAACTTACAATATAGTGGCATCATTCTCCGATATAACAATGATTCACATTAGGAAATATACAGTGTAACAGCATACACTATCTTATTAGTAGAAGTATTAGTGTCAGTGGTGGGGCAGCTGTAATAGAAGTAAAATAAAACAATGCATGGTTAAAAGTAAAATAAAACTCAATACATGGTAAGTGCCAGCACAATGACAAGTACTTAATAAAACTCAAATAATATGAGCACCTTAGAAACAAGAAAAATGAGCCCGGCCTGCCATGACTCAGTGGTTGAGAATCAACTGATGAACCAGAAAGTCACAGTTCGATTCCTGGTCAAGGCACACGCCAGGTTGCGGGCTCGGTCCCCACTGTGGGATGTGTAGGAAGCAGTTGATCAATGATTGTCTCTCATCATTGATGTTTCTATCTCTCTCTCCCCCTCCCTTTCTGAAATCAATACAAATATATTTTCAAAAAAGAAAAATGATAAAAATAGTTATGGGTTAAAATATGCAAAAATAATTCAAGTGATGCCAGTGAAAATGGTAGGTTAAGGATACCTGTGAACACTGGCAAAAACTGTTAGACCCAACTATTTCTGAGATCTTGAAATTAGCCAAAGTTCGGTAGCAAGCCAAAGTGCATTTATTAAAGAAAAATGGCTACATTTCAGTACAAACAGTGAGCTCTATGGCATTTGAACTTGCCCCGTTTCCGTCCCCATCTCCTTAGCTCCATAGAAGCCTGGAAAAACAATTGTCCATAATCAGAGTAGGAAGGGTAGACTGGCATGCTTTCAAAGCTCCATTTCTAGATAATTGTCATTAATTGACCTGTTGGTTCCCTGAAAGACCCCACTCACAAGGATGTCTTTTAAGTAACCTGACTTGGAGCTCAGCCAGTAAAATCACACTTTACACTGGGGGCATTCATTGGGGAAAAAAATCAGAGGCAACTGTTTAAGATTGTGGCTGCCTAGGGTGGGCAAAAAAGGCTAATCAAACGTGTTGCTGTTGTTTTTTAACACTAGGGATAGAAATTTCCATAGGGGTTTTGACATGTCCAGGCTGTGTGCATGCATCTGAAATAACAGAGAAGGCACTAAGCTCTCACTTCCGGCTAATCCTGACATTTTGTGAAAACCAGCAATGAAGGCTAAGGAGGAATTGTCTATTGCCTGAGTGTTGAAGATGTGCCCCACAATGAACACAGAGTCCCTCAGAAAGACTTGGGGAATTTATTGGTTATAGGCATTTAAGGAATTATCTGTCTGACCATTAGCTGGCCATAACCTGAGCAAAGATTTTGCAGAATTAGTTTAGAAATGTCACTGAACAAACAGACAACAAACAGCAAAAACAAATCCTGAAAAAGGAAGAAGAATCTGATTTCCAGAGCTTCTATATTACATTATTTAAAATGTCAAGTGTTCAATAAAATTTTTTTAAAACATCCAAAGAAACAAATGAGTATGGCCCCTACACAGGAAAAATAGCAGTCAACAGTAACTGTCCCCAGATATTTGCCTTACCACAACAATGACTTAAATAAAATATAAAAGTGTTCAAAGAACAAAGAAACCATGTCTAAAAACCTAAGGAAAATATCAGATTGTTTTACCAAATAAAAATACCAATCCAGAAATATAAGTTATAATAAAAACCAAATAGAAATGCTGTATTTAAAAAAATGAATAAATGAAATGAAGAACTCACAGCAGATTTGAACAGGCAGAAAAAAGAATTGGTGAACTTGAAGTTAGGTCAATTGAGATTACCAGTCTGAGGAACAGAAAGAAAAAAGCAAATAAAAGAATGGATAGAGTCTCAAGAACCTGTGAGATACTATAAAAAATATTAGATATGTATAATGGGAATGCCACAAGAAGTCAGAGAGAAAGGGGCAGAAAGAATATTTAAACACAAAATGACCAAAATCTTCCCAAGTATGATG